TGAATATATATATGCAAGGATATATAAACTAACACCAGATGATATATCCTATCAAAGAGATATATAATATGATGTATGTAAGGATATGAAAACTAACACAAGGGGTAAACAATATGAACTAGATAGTGGATCATATAAATAATGAGACAATAGCGAAATGAGCAATGAGCACAAATAAGAATAAACGCCAAAGCACATTCAAACACACAATATGATCACGGAGTTCGGACCTTCCGTCCTACGTCTCCGCTCCCCACTTCCGGGGAGAAATCCACTATCACAACCGGGTTTTCTACGTTCACCCGAATAACGTTTACACCTCACAGTGTCGGTTTTCAACGCTCATCGATCAACGTCACTCCTCACAATCGGTTTTCTAGTTCACCAAAAACTTCACAACACACTCGGTTTTCTAGCTCACCGAAAACCTACAACACTCACAATGTAACAAATATAAATTTATTCTCTACAATAGATGAGAACTCAATTAAGCACAACTCAATGTTACAATCTCTCACAACCCTAATATACTATGTATATAAATACAATAAGCTCATGTAACTAAAAACCCTTTTCAAAACTCTTTAAAACTTCTTTAAAACTCTTTAATGGGTTGCTGAAATAGAAGGGGGTTTGGGAGTTTATATAGGAAAAGAAACAACAGCTAAAACCCAAAACCAAATCAACAAAAATCCCAGAAAATCAGGAAACATATTTCTGTACAACATTACCGTTGGGAGTCCGGTGGTCGACCGAAAAAATTCGCGGTCGACCACGATCCAGATCCCAATCTGAGAATCGAGCTGAGACTTCTTCGGTCGACCGGTGCGGTCGACCGATGGAAATTTCGAGCTCTCGGTCGACCGTAGCGGTCGACCGACAAACTCTCTGCTGCCCACTGACAAATGAACTCAGGTGCGGTCGACCGGCGCGGTTGACCGCATACTGATACATGAAAATGAAGTCTGAAAACTGTTTTTTTGATTTTAAAACGTTGTTTAAAAATATCAAATAAATTCCAAAAAATATAAAATTTTGGGGAATGATTATAGACATGATATTAAACATACTACAATGACTGGTTTCCAAAAAGGACTTCCCAAATGAAAAATATCATCATTTTGAAAAATAGTCCAAAACACAAAAATGTAAACATGTGAATTTTGACATTTAGGCTAAACCATGTTTTGAAACTTTGCATAATGATTATGTAGACTTAATAAAATATGTATATGATAATTGTTAAGTCCAAAAACTAAGAATAAAGAATTTTCACAAAATTGCATATTCTATGCAATGTTTTCAAAAACACAATAGTAAATATGAAACATGTGATTTCATATTTATAAACATGAAAACTCAAAAACTATGTATGTATATATATAACTATATATATGCATAGAAACCAAAAATTATGTATATATATATAACTATATATATATACGAAGAAACCAATAAATGTGTGTGTATATGATATTGAGCTTAGAGTATCTAACACACATAATATAAAATCTAAACTAGATTACCCAAGCCGATCTTGATCTTCAATAAGCTTGACTTGGTGACCTTGCGGATGAAGCTTGAACTTTATCTTTAACTTTGAATTGCAATGCTTCACTCCACTATTCCGCCAACCTCCATTGGATATCATCGTTGAAGCTCTATTCCATCCATCCTCCAACTCGTTGTTTGTCTATAATAAATAAGAAAACACAAATACTAGACAAATAACATTAGTGGTAAATTGTTTGTTAAACATCATCAAAACAAGAAGGCCAACACATACTTCTTCGGGTATTCTGTGCTCCAAAGGTACTGATGGTCCCTGGTTGATCAGGTAGGCAGATGCAGCTTTTACATAAGTCAAGATCAATCGACCTCAAACCTGGTAGCTTTCCATTCGACTGCATAACCTTTAGTCATTTGCTGCTCATGTGACTAAGCCTTTTGTGCCACAAATTTGGATCTTCTTTGCTCTCAACCAGTGCAATGGAACTACATACATCTGTCGTCATATAGAGAGTCCTACTCTTTGTGCCACGAGCAACAATCATAGACCCCTTGGTAACCTTCCACGTATCACATGCGAAAGTTTTTATATATCCCTCTTTTGTCAGCTGTCCTATAGAGATCAGATTCTTCCTCAAGCTAGGAACATGTCTCACATCATTCAATTTCTATACAGACCCATTGAGGTTGATCTGTACTACTCCTTTTCCAACTATATCACACGCCTGGTCATCACCAAGGTAGACTTTTCCTAGATTTCCTAGAATATAGTTCTCAAATATATCTTTATTTGAGGTAGCATGAAACAATGCTCCCGAATCCAGCACCCATGATTCTATTTTGCTCTCTAACGAGCAAATAAGGGCATCATCTGATTCTCCTGAGGCAACGTTCGCTTCAGTCTTTCTCTCCTTGTCTTTCCTAGGTTCCGAACACTGGTTCTCATAATGCCCATACTTGCCACAGTTCCAGCAATCAATCTCTTGATTGCTTTTATGATTTCTGTATTTTGACCTGCCATTCCTCGAATTTGGTCTCCCACAGCTATTTTCTCTATTCAAGTTTCTTTTTTTCCTCTACTTTCAACATTCAGTACCGACCTTGAACTAGAGACTCCTTCTTTTTGCCTTCTAATCTTCTCAGTCATAACCATGTCAACAACCTCTCAAAACTTCAATTTTGATTTTCCAAATAAACCGCTAATCCAAATAACGGTACCCTTTCAACTATTAGGAAACTGACCAAGTATTAAGAGGCCTCGATTTTTTGTAGTTGGTCTATTGTTTTTCCGTGCTTGTTTTGTCTACATCAATTTCGGCCCCACTTGCAAGTTTTCATATCTTACTACATAAATTGCTTGATATTTTTTAATGTATAGTATATATCATCTGATAGTCATTTTTTCCCTCTTTTCCGCATCTTTATATAACAAATCATATCAGTTTTCATTTACATTATTTTAAATATTGAATATCGCATAAATATCGGATGACCAAAATCCATATCAAATTCTAAAAATCAAAAATATATCAAGAATATGCAGTAAATATCACGATGTCATATCAGATGATGTTCATGCATACTACAGTGTTCTGATATGTAATCTAAACATATTTAATAAATTCTAAACATAAAAAATGGCATCATGATATATCTTTAGGACGACTAACACATTGAAAAAACTTTCTCTTAATTGCATTGTGAAACTTTCAAAGTGCATAACATTAAAATAAGTAGAGAGATTAAAGAGGGGTAGAGAGAGAGAGAGAAAGGAAGGGGTAGAGGGGGAAGTGAGGAGAGAGAGTCAGGAAGAGAGAGAAAGAGAGGGTGGAGAGAGGGGCAGATAGAGATAGTCGGGAGAGGAACAGTGAAGATAGAGGGCGGAAATGGGGGAGAGAGCTTACCGACAGAGAAGAGAGAGAGAGAGAGAGAGAGAGAGAGAGAGAGAGAGAGAGAGAGGAGTGCCAAAATTGTAAGGGTTAGGATTTTTATGAGATCGATTGATTTTTGAAGTAGAAGTAAATGGAGGGTTTCATTTGGAAACCCAAAATCAAACCAAACACACAAAAAAATCTAAATAAAAAACATAATATCAGACAATATGTTGTGAATATTGAGATATGTTAAATATTGGCTGATATATTAGGAAAAACTCTTAAAACCGACCACTGCTAGTAACATATAAATATTGTTGCGGGTTGCTGTGGAATCCAATATATCAATATATCAGCCAATGTTTTATACATTGGTTATTTGATATTTTGTTTGCCACATTTTAATAATTTGCTCTTTTGATATGGTTTTCATATTCATCTTTTTCGTTATCAGTGTATATCATTATTTTATTTGTATCTACACAACTATCATTGAAAATGACTAGCAAATTTATTACTTTTGAGTTGTCAATGATTAAACGTTTCCATGGAGAAAATTGTGAGCACTAGAAAATTAATCAAGTACAGCTTAATTCATGACAATATAGATAGTGACCTTGAGAGTGCTGCTCCAGTTCTGAATAAAGATGCTACTTAAGATTCTGGAAAAGGAATTTGATCAGTGACATCTTAAGGACAAGAATATGAAAAGCTTGATGTTGATGTCGATAAAAGATGATCTTCTAAATGTTTGAGTGCTGGTACGGGGACCTAAAATATGGGACCAATGGAGGGGACAGGTGAGGTGTCCCCTCCCTCTTGCATAATGAGTTGGCCATGCCAACTCATTATACAATAGGGAGGGAACACATCACCTGTCCCCTCCCTTGGTCCCATATTTTGGGTCCTTAAATCATTTTTCCTAAATGTTTTTGAAACCTATAAGCCAGTATGTAGAAAGCTATCAAGGATAATTATGACACCACAGTTGAGTTGTTGGGATTAATTAATTCATCAGACATTTGTAGGCCATTAAGTGTAAAAACCCATGGTAACAAGAAATATTTTATTACATTTATATATAACTATTCAAAATTTATTTTTGTTTATCTTTTGATGAAAAGTTTGAGGCTTTTTAATTTTTTTTTAAAAGCTATAAAGCAAAAGTGGAAAGAACTCTTGGGAGGTACACTAAAATATTAAGATCTGATAGAGATTGTGAATTTGATTCAAAGGAATTTGATAACTACTGTATTCAGGATGGAATTAAATGGCACACAACAATGCCTTACTTACCACAAAGAAAATAGAATTGCTGAAAGGAAAAAAAACAGAAAATTGATAAATACAAAAACTCTCCGAATCTTTTTTAAGAGAAGCAGTTTTAACTGTGAATATGTTTTAAATAAAATTCCCATTATATCAGTTTGACACCCTTTGTACTTTGGTATTGTTTCGGGAGCCAACAACACGTGAGGGTTTGGTGAAATTTATTCATTAATTTATTTTCGGGAGAGTTTTGCTGAGTGTGTGTATCCGACATTTCCGTTAAGCGCCCGGGCTTTTAGTAGCGGAGCAGTTTTAATTAGTCCGCGGAAACAAGAAGATTGAGAGGAGGTCGCAACAACCAACACCAGCCAATGGCGACGCCGAGAGACCGAGAAAGAGACCGCGAGCTCCTCATCCCGGTCGGCGAAGCCCTCGATGACGTGGCCCCATCCTCGCCGTCCGTCGCCTGCCCTCCCCCTTGCTCCCACCACCACCACCAGCTCACCGGCGTCGAGGTAAAATGATCTTAGATCTTGGTTACCCTTTTCACCAAACACTAGGTATCTTTCGTTGCTTTGTCTCACATTAGTGACATCGTAGCTCTTTTTATGATATTTCTCATGCATGTAGAACGTAGACAACCTTCTGTTTTCAAGATTGATATATATGGAAATGGAAAGATGAAATTTCGTGAAGTTTTGATTAAAAATGGATTCTGTAGATGTTCTCATTCCCAAGCCTTTTTTCCCTCGCATCAAATGCGACGAGGTGTCGCGATTGCCTATACGTTGATGTGAAATTCCGTAGACATGCATTGATGCGAAAGTCCGCGAACAAGAAACATAGAAGGTATAGTTTTACCCGGGGTTTCTCGAAATTGATGTGAAATTTGCATAGAAGGAACCGATCGAGGGTTTTCTAAAAGATAATTTAAGCCTTGAATGAAATGATCAAATTGAGATGGCAAGCTGGTACGATCACGTCAATAGTGGTATATATGTCTACCTAGATGAGAACAACCTGAAAAAGGTGGGGTGTACGTTTTGTAGGGAATTGATCATGATTTGAGGAATGCGAACAAAGTAATTGCGGACGAGCGTTGTGTATACGGGAGGAGCTGATGATCACTGATTGATCTCATTCTCCCCAGAAAGGCAATACGCTAATTAACTTATGAGTTTTCAATTTATCCCACCTGCTTACGTTCGTAGAGATAAATCATTTGCTGAATGCCATTACACCGGCGTAAAAACAATGGACATGTTCTTCTAATATATATACTGACCTTGTATAACTACAACCTGTAATGTAATTAATAGGGTGTTTTAAATTTCATACCGGCACATACAGAGTACTTACACCACATAATTCATCTCCTCCAAAAAGTACATTGTAACCTACAGTTTCAGCAGGCAGCTATTTTATGTTAGAGAGACCTTCGATATGGGCACCCAATATCGAAGACGCCTTGTCATCACGCGATTGACTAGTACAAAATTATGTTTTTCATAATATACCGGAACATCCAATATCAAGACGCCTTGTCATCTAGTATAGCGACCCTTTTGTTCTGTAAGGCTTAATTATTTTTAGATATGAGCAATTTGGCATCAGGTTTCCTAATGTGGAACTGAACTTTGTAAAAGCCTTCTTCATAACTTCCGCCGATTTACAGTTTATAAGATTGTGCTAACGCTTTGTTGCCCCCATTTAACTTAATAACTCTCTAGATGAATTATGAAACACATTTATGTTGTAAGAACTTATACCGAGTTGCAACTAGTATTACTCCATCGATCATATCTGTCTGTTTACCGTTCTGATTATAAGTCAGAGTCCTCTTTTCCTTATTGTATATAAGAAATTCATAACCTCTTTTCCCAATTGTATAGGCATGTTCCAAAGTTATTCGTAGCTGGGCCTCAAAGAAGTTTATGACAGGATGGTAAGTGCTTTGGCGCTCGCGCCTTCCTAAAATTTGGGTTGATGTATGTTCCATGCAGGATTACAATGCTATTTATATAATAATCTATATGCATATATTTTGCGGATGAAATTGCAAACGGATCAGGTCCTACATCATTAAATATAAATTAATCAATGGCATGTTGTTCTTTGCATACAACCTAGTTCATCGCTTACAGGGTGACAAATTGGATTAATCACAATATCAAAAAGTTGTAAGCAAAAGAAATTAAGATTTCCAGCACTTCCTCTTTTAGATATTGTTTATTTATGTAAACCTCACATGCCCCCCTGTTCTAGTAAGAGCAGCCATTCTATAGAATTGACTTAGTATATGAATTTGTAGTAAGTGAATAAGATTTTGAAAAACCAATAAAAAGTCTAGGTGTCCATATCTATGGCTGTATTATAAAAACAGTCAAAAATATAAGTATGAAATGTAAAACATATCACATAAATTTACATGTTCTAATTTCCATATGAACATATAATAATAAAGCGGAAGCAACAAGATAAGATCGATTAATTTACCTCCAGCCATTGCTTTTGAAAACCTCAATAGCACTTTAGAAAGCTCTAATTAATGTTGATGGTTCCAAACCCTCCTTTCACTTTTAGATGGTGTATAAAATATGAGAGTAGATTTGGTGACCTTTCATGAAACACACATTGTCTACTTATACTACTCTAGCCATCATAGAGTAGTGGACAAGATAGTGAAAGAGTGGGTGGTTTCCAAAATGTGGGGGAAGATCATGGGTAGTTGCCTTGATCATTGGCAACTTCCCATTAAATGGATCATTAATTTTCCACACTAAAATAATATAATATATTCCTATAAAAGTGGAAAACGTCTTACATGAAAATGAATTACATTTCTAAATATCAAACCAGAGCCTGCAGTAGCTCCAATCCCTCATGCTAGTCTCTCAATATGATCCTTTACATGAATTGGAATTTTTACATTCAGAAGCTTAGAGTATAAACTGAACTTTAGTGCACGAAAGAGAGTATCAGAATCTCGTGCACGTCCTTGGAAAAGCCTAAGGTTCCTCTCCTACCAGAGCATATAAACTGATGCTGATAAAACCATCCTTTTAAGCTTTGCTTTAAAGTCAGTCCCTCTCAAACTCATACTAAACCAGGTTGAAAGATGATGTCAGCTACACGTCTTCCAATTAAAGCCAACCCAGTCCATTGCTTTATTCCAAAATGTCGATGAGTATTGACAGTCAAAGAATAAGTGTTTGCAGGTTTCTTTTTGATTGATATCAGAACATAGCACACACTGATTTGAATTAAGAATCCTCATTCTGCACAGTCTATCTTGAGTTAACAACCTTGAGATGGAAGCCAACCATAATATGAAGGAATGTTTAGGATAGTGACAACCACCCCAAATAGTTCCTGATATTGCTGTTGAAGGAACCTGCTGGTTTAGTCTCTTATACATAGCAGAAATGCTGAATTTATCTCCAGTGCAGCAATTATTGATGACTGAAAGAAGATTATCAGTATTACCAAACTTCAATGCTAACAAATCCCTAACTTTCAGAATTTGTTTCCACATCCAAGAGTCACTTTCTCTGTTTTGCACTTGCCAAACATTGTTCTGCCGCAAATAGTTTCCATGTATCCATTTAATCCACAGAATGTCCTTCTTATTATGGATCATCCAAAGCAGCTTAGCAGCAGAAGCAAAATTCCAAATTTTTGCTGAATACACCCCCAAACCACCCTGTTTATGATCCTGACAAATTGCAGACCAAGCCACCAAGTGCATTTTATGTCCCCAAAGGAAATCAGCACACATCTTATCTATCTTCTCTAGAACTTTAATTGGTAGAATGTAATTACTTGTCCAAAACATTTGAATCCCCAAGATAACTGACTTTATCAATTGCAGTCTCTCTGCATAAGATAGAGTTTTGTTATTCTGCCAATTTTGAAACTGAGAGGAGATTTTGCTTATAAGAGGAGAACAATCAAGCCAAGATAATCTTTTTGAGATAAGTGGAACTCCCAGATATCTCAATGGTAGAACCCCTTCAGAAAATTTGAGATATGAGCATATTTGAGCTTTTAAAACCTCATCAATACCACTCAAGAATACTGAGCATTTAGCAGGATTTGGTTCCAAACCTGAAACTTGGCTAAACTCCATGAGACACTCATTTAATCTTGTAATTGAACTCATATCTGCTTTACCAAATAGCAGGAGGTCATCTGCAAAAATCAGGTGTGAAATTTTCAATCCATTACATTTAGGATGAAATTTATATAGCCTATCACCCTTGAGAGTATCCAGCTTCCTAGATAAATATTCCATGCCGATTACAAACAGATATGGAGACATAGGATCACCTTGCCTTAATCCTCTAGCACCTTGAAAATATCCATGCAAGGTTCCATTGATTGACAGAGAGTATTTTGGAGTAGAAATACATTCCATTATCCATCCAATCATGTTATCAGGAAAACCCAGCCCTATCAACATACTCCTGAGGAATTTCCAGCTTATTGTGTCAAAAGCTTTCCTAAAATCTATATTTAGAATGCCTCTTGGAGATGTATTTTTCCTAGTGTAATGTTTGATGAGATCATGAGCTAGAAGAATATTGCTAGAAATAAGCCTCCCCTTCACAAATGCACTTTGAGCATCACTAATCAAGTATCCCATGATCTTCTGAATCCTCCTTGAAATGATTTTTGAAATGATTTTGTAAACACAATTACAACAAGCAATTAGCCTAAAATCAGTTGCATTTTGAGGATTGAGCACTTTAGGAATCAGAGTGATAGTTGTGGAATTGAATGTACCCAACAATTTGCCAGAATTAAAGAATTCTTCAATTGCTTCATAAAGTTCCTCTTTAATTATACTCCAAGAAGCTTTGAAGAAATAAGCACTAAAGCCATCAGGTCCAGGACTTTTTTCATTAGGTATGGAGAAAACTGCTTGTTTAATTTCCTCCCTAGTGACAGGAGAGTTGAGCATATTCCTTTGATCAGGTGAGAGCAAAGGGCCATTGGATATAACCTCTGGATCAGGCAGTAAGGTAGATGTTGAAGTACCCAGAAGGTTTTTATAAAAATCCAGGAATTCAGAAACAATATCTGATATCTCTGTTAATCTGTTTCCAGCCCTATCATGCAGAGTCATGATTCTGTTGTGATGCCTTTTATTCTTCATCACAGAGTGAAAGAAATGTGAGCTTTTATCTCCACGAATCCCCTAGTTAATTTTAGCTCTCTGCCTATAGAATGAAGTTTCACAGTCTAGGAGTTTAACTTTATGATGTTATTTATTAGGACAATAGAACTGAGATTTTACTTTAATGTGTTATTTATTGGACATTGAGATTGAGATAATTACTCTCACTTTTTCCAAAATTATCAAACTTCTATACAAAATTTTTGTTCCAACCTCTAAAAAGTACATCATTTTTAACTTTGGGACAGCCATGGATAAAGTGGGATAATTTTGAAGTATTAATTTCTTAAATATCTAATATATATTAATTATATTATAATATATAATATATATTAATTATATTATGTTATAAAATTCTACTATAATGTAAG